GGGGGGGGGGTAGGTGACGTCAATAAAAGGGAGGGTCAGATGTTTGTGGTGAAACATTCCTCCCTCTTCACCTCAAGAGTTACTCCTGCTTTAAACATTTTTAAAATGTGTTGTTGACATCGCTGAATCATTTTTCAAGTGTTAGATCTATATTCCAAAGATCTTTTTCATCAAGACAAGCAGGGGTTTTCTTGTGTGAGCGTGGAAGACGTGGCTGTAGATTTCCTATTGTACCTAGGTTATAACTCCTATTGAAAGTCCTGCATAGACGTGATATTTTGTTGTGGCACATGACAGAATTCACAAAGGCGCCTAATTGTTCACTTGTCGTTCGGAGAGGTAAGAGTGGACTATTTGTTCGTGTAGTGCATGTTCCAGTAATGCGTCCTCTCTGTCGGGTTTATACACTCAGAATGTTCAATGACAAAATCTATTTCTCCATGGACGTTTTTTAAAACACGAGACACTGACTATAAAGAAAAAAACAAATTTGAGGCAGCGTGGTGGAATCAGGCTCTCGTCAAAATAATCAAATTGAAGAAACTTGCATTTTTGTGCAGGTTTGTGAATTTTTATCAATTTTTTGTTTTTGGGTGCTACACCTTTCAGGCCCATTAAAAAACTCATTTATGTGTGGATTTTTCTGAAAAACGTTGATCAAAGGTCAAACAAATGTAAATTTTCAGTTGCCACGGACTCTTAAGCTAAGGAAATAACTAATCTTTTTCAGCCATTTTCTCACTAATTTTAGATCTGAAAACAGGTGACCCCCACCTCCTTCATTCTCAAATATCTCGACTCGTATTTAAGATAAACGGATATTGTTTTCATTCAAATAAAGACAAGTGAACAAGCTTTAAGATGATACCAATACCTCTACGTGCCCAAAAATTGACAAGAGCCGGATACCACCATGCTGCCTCACAAATAAGTGACATCATTAGACGTGTTCGCTCCCTCATGGCAAAACCGTGAAGGAGGAAAGGGGGGGGGGCGTGATTTGTTGAATTTGTTAAAATCTCTTAAAAATAGGACATTTATTTTGTTTAGATGAACAAATAAGTGGTTTCCAAATTTTAAAAAAACACCCCGCCCCCCCCCCCCTAAAAAAACAGCAACAACAAAACAAAACAGCTGATTCTCACTGTAACAAGAACACTTAGACCAATTTTGAAAGACGATTCAAGATCGAAGAACCAAAAACATGTCTATTATTTTCTTTTTTTGGGGGGGGGGGGACAAAATGCTGGGAATGTAAAAGTGTAAAAGGACCTTTGAATTGACTGTTCTTACTGGTATTTTTCTCATGGAAGTCACACGTCATCTGGATTAACCTTCAACTTTCAAATTCGACTCTGGAACATATCAGGGATCGAGTGGTTGTACCTAAAGCATACAGCCCTTTTTAACTCCAAGTGGAGCACAGGCCATCAACAACATTACTCCAGCGAAGTCTGTCCTGAGCATCATTTTCTATCTGTTTCCATGATGTCCCCGCTTTTTCAATTTCGGTTTGTACCGCTCGCCTCCTTGTCATCTTTGGTCTTCCCTTCTTACGCTTTCCTTGTGGGTTCCACGATAAAGCCTGCCTGATGATGCTTGTCGGCGGTCTCCTCAGGGTGTGTCCAATCCATTTCCATTCCTTCACCTGAATATTATCTTCCTTTACTGGCCTTTGGCTTGTTCTCTCCTACAGTCATGTATTGGCGATAAAAAAGACAACCCAGGTACCACTTTTCAACTTTTGAGTTGAGTCTTTGCCCGTAAGTAATACTAAGTACTCTAAAAAATAGGCCATGTTAAAAAATAAAACTTAGGTTCTTCCATTAGTGTTCAAAGTACTCATGGAAAAAAAAAAGAAAACTGGTATGTTTCCCGACTACACGGCGAATCTTAATAAATTCTTTGCTATTTATGACATTATTAGCCTGCTCTACTCTGGCGTTGACCAGATGACAAGGACATGTGGTTACTTGAGGGAGGCATTGTGCTGCCAAGAGCGAAATGCTCGCAGCTAAAGGAATTTGAAAACAACAACAACAATAACATGACATTATTAAAAGTCGCTATAACATAATTTGGTCATTTTCACCCAAGAAAGCTGATAGGTATAACTCACAAATGGCGGTGAGATTGAGCCACCGGAAGGCCGCTCGGTTCTGCTGTTGTTAGGACATTCAACGTCTCCGTAGGAATAACTTTTTCTTCCTGGGCCCAACACTGTGGGAATTACCTCCATAAAGAAATGCGTGTTATATAACGTCACAGAGAGACAGAGAGAGAGAGAGAGAGAGAGAGAGAGAGAGAGAGAGAGAGATGGAGAGAGAGACAGGAGAAAGAGAGAGAGGTAGATAGATAGATAGTGACAGAGAGAGAGACAGACAGACAGACAGACAGACTGACAGACAGACAGACAGACAGACAGACAGAGACAGAGAGAGAGAGAGAGACAGGAGAAATAGAGAGAGGTAAATAGATAGTGAGAGAGAGA